AAAAAAAAAAAAAAAAAAAAAAAAAAAAAAAAAAAAAAAAAGCAAGGAACTGCACAGAAGCCAAGGCTGGCTGATGGTATTTTAAGGCCATGGTGTAGACGGAGCAGAAGAGAATGAGATATGGAGTTCCAGGTGTAAGTAAGGCACCACCTGCCCAAACACCTCCTACGAAAACACCATCAGAGACCTGCAGTTCTCCAGCCCAGGGCTGAGGTTAGGAGGCCAATCCTCCCAGGATAGGCAAGCAGTGGAGTTGGCTAAAGCAAGGCTGAAGCAGGAGGATCACAAATTCAAGGCCAGTCTGGAGAACTTATAAGACCCTGTCTCAAATAAAAATAAAAGGGCTGGGGATGTGGCTTAGTGGTACAATACCCCTGGGTTCAATTCCCAATATTAAAAGAAGAAATAGGAGGAGAATTAGAGGTGGGGGAAGAAGGAGAAGGGAAAGAAAAAGAAAAGAAGTGGCTAAAGCCAGGTGTGGTGGTGCACACCTGAATCCCAGCAGCTTGGGAGGCTGAGGTAGGAGGATTCCAAATTCAAAAACCAGCCTCAACAACAGTGAGGTGCTAAGCAACTCAGTGAGACCCTGGGGATGTGGCTCAGTGGTTGAGTGTCCCTGAGTTCAATCCCTGGTACCAAACAAACAAATAATCCAAAAAAAGTGGCTAAAGCAGGCTGCTGTTAGGAAAGTAATACAAGCCTGAGGTGAGGCTCCTGTGAGGCCTTGGGAGTGGCCATGACCGTGGAGCACTAGAAAGAGCACGCTCCTGTCAGCTCCCATTCTTGCCAAATACAAGGGCCCAATCCTGTCAGAGCTTTCTATTTGTTAAAAGAAACAGGAAGCCTGGATTTTCGTGTGAATTGGCCTGATTTTCAAATGCTGGCAATTCATTCTTAGACGGATTAACTTGTTAAAAAAAAAAAAAAATTAACAATACAAAAACTAGGTCTGGCGGCTGCATCTGACACAGGGACAACCAGTTGGTGGTCTTTCTGTCTTAGCCCATTATTTTGAAAAGAAGGGAGATGCAGGCACCCTTCTCCTTGCCTTCACCGGACCAAAAGCACATGGTAGAGGGCAAAGCTCACAGGTAAAGTGAAGACCTCTTTTTCCTAATTTCCTGAGAAGCCTCAGTACATCACCTTCCCATCCTGAACCTCAGGATCCTCCTCATCTGTGGAATGAGGGAGAGACTACATGTCCTGTAGAGTCTCTTTCATCTCTGATATTTTAAAATTTGACCTCCTTTGGGGCTGGGTGGCTCAGTGGTAGAGCGCTCACCTAGCACATGCGAGGCCCTGGGTTCGATCCTCAGCACCACATAAAAACAAATAATCAAAAATAAGGGTATTGTGTGCAACTAAAAAATAAATAAATAAATATTTTTTTTAAAAAAGAAAGAGGAATTTAAAAAAAAAAATTTTTTTTTTACCTCCCTTTAGGCTCTGCCACAGAGGGAACCCAGCTAACAACCTGCTTGGGAATTTGTGTGTACAGAAGTATATTTTTAATTGACAAATAAGAATTTTATACATTTATGGCATATTATGTTTTGATATATGTACACACTGCAGAATGAGCCAATCAAGCTAATTAACATATCCATCTCCTTACACGTTTTTTGTTGATTTTTTTTTCTTTTTCATTGTAATCTTTTTTTTTTTTCATTATTGAGACTTGAACCCACAGCCTCACACATGCTAGGCAAACGCTCTACCACCCAGTCCCATTCGTTTCCATGGCAGTAAAATATGCACATAATTTACCATTAGTGACACTCAGTGGAGTCTTATGTTGTGTAACCATCTCCACAGTCTAGTTTCAGAATATTTTCAACACCCTCAACAATCTGTCTCTCATGTTCCCAAGTTTCAGGGGGGAAAAAAACTTTTTTTTTTTTATCTGATTCAGAGTAATTCTAATATTCTAAATTCATTCAATTCATTCTAATAACCCACATGGAGAACTCCCAGTAGCCTCTTGGGTTGGCAGTTCCCCTCCCTGACCTACCACACAGCCAGGACAAGATCCAAGAGGTCTTTGAAAGGGGGGGACTCATGCATTCATGAGTCCCTGAGGATTTGATTTTGGGGAACCCTTGCCTGTACCCCTTGACCAGCTGATGACATCAAAGCCCTGCACATGCTGGCTGGGGGGTGTGGCCCCATGGCGGGGTGCTCACAAGTATCCCAAGTAGGTGAGGTTCCATGCAAGAGGCCCTGGGTCTGATCCTCAGCACTACAATAAAAATTAAAACAAAACCCTGCACATTATGACCACAGATGATCCAAGCCCAGTTCTCATTAGCAGGAAGCAGGGCAGGAATAGCCAGACGTCCACACCTTCCTTCCTCTCCCCAGGGTATGTGTGCAGCCAGATCCAGGGTGAACTGAGAAAACAGGGACACCAGAGCAAGCTTGTTCGTTATGCTAATTGCGTCCAGTGGAAAGGCCAGCCCTCTTCCGAAATGACGTTATTAGGATGTATATGCTCTTTTACGAAATGACATTGGAAAGAGATGCAACATTTGGGTCTTGTTTTAATTTGGCAAAATGAAAAATGACTTTGTTCCTCACCTAAAATTTTGGAAGATTCACTGATCTGTGAAATTAAATTCGGTGGAAACACCAGCCTATTTGTGATGAAGAGCATCCCCTGAGCGGACTGGGGAGGGGACCTGTAGTTCATGGTGCTGTGCAGGCAGGACAGTAGCACTGGCCTCTCCTTTCCATGGTCAGTTATCAAGCAGGTCAGTGCTGCAAAAAGTGAGGATGTTAAATAAAACCTCATGCCCATCACTCAGCCTCCAAAATGGTCACCCAAGGGCCATGTTCACATTATCCTCACCACCACCCCTACACCATTTGGAAGCAAAACCCAGATATCACATGGTCCCCACAGCAAGTAAAAATTTATTTTCAGGATAAATCTCCAAAGGCTAAGAAACGTAATTGGAATTTGATATTATACCAAGAATTTCTTTCTTTTTTGTGGGGAGGGGTACTAGGCATTAAACCCAGGGGTGCTTAATATGGACCCACATCCCAGCCCTTTTTTGTTTTTTATCTAGAGACAGGGTCTTGCTGAATTGTGTAGGGCATCGCTAAGTTGCTGAGGCTGGCTTTGAACTTGTGATCCTCCTCCCTCAACCTCCAGAGCTACTGGGATTACAGGCATGTGCCACTGCACTCAGCCTACAGTAATTTCTTTCCTTTTCTTTTTTAAATACTTTTAGTTGTAAATGGACATAATACCTTTATTTTGTTCATTTAGTTTTATGTGGTGCTGGGGATCAAACCCAGTGCCTCACACATGGCTGGGCAAGTACTCTACCACTGAATTATAACCCCAGGCTCCAATAATTTCTTAATATCATCAAATACCCTGTTAGGATTTAGGGGTTTTATTTTAATTTATTTATTTATTTGTTTGTTTATTTATTTTTTGCAGTAGTAGGTGCTGTAGTCCGGCTGGGCAAAATAACCAAGAGGTGACAAGCAACTTGAAGGTTGAAGCGGGAACTACTTTATTGCAAGTGAACTCAGCGGGAACTGAGTGAGAACTCAAAGTAGCGGGCACCCAAGGTAGCAGGAGCCACTTCTCTGCCGGACAGCAGAGGTACATATACCCAACTAATTACACATAGCTTAACTTAATTAACATCATCTAGATACAGCAGTCAGTCCTTAAGGAATCCTCATCATCTTAATGGCTCCCTGGCGTTGCTTCACAAACCACTCCTCCTGGAAAAGGGCCAGGCGCCATCTTGACTTGATTTGCATCCCCAACAGTAGGGATGAACCCAGGGCTCATAAGCAAGTGGTTTACTACTGAACTACACACACAGTCCTCTTTATTTCTCATTTTGAGACAGGGTCATGTTGAGTTATCCAGGCTAACCTCAATCTTGGGATCCTCCTGCCTCAGTATCCCAAGTAGGTGGGGTTCCATATGTGTGCCACCATACCTGGCTCTGGTTAGGATCTAAATTTTCTTTCTCTCTCTTTTGTCTATCAGTTTGTTCAAATCAGTATCTAAACAAGATGCAACCATTGCAATCAGTAGATATACTTCTAAAATCTTTTCATCCATGGGTTCTTTCTTCTCTTCATCTGTTTCCCCTCCCTCTCATTTATCTGTTGAGGCACTGGGTGATTATAGAGTCACTTTGCACACCCCCCAGTCCTCTGCACTTCCTATGGATGGGTAGTTACATCAGTAGTATTGTTTATATTTGGGTTCAATATTTTTGACAAAAAAAAATAAAAATCCAAAGTGGTCCTCTGTGTGCCTTCCTACAAGACATGCAGCAACCCATCGACCTTCTGTGCTGTCACCTGCCATTGATGCTCCAATTCCTTGGGAGCACTTCTGTCTCTCTCCCTGATGAAGTCATTGGGTGGCCAAATCCTCCCTGTTCACCTGGGACTTTGCCAGCTTAAACATATCAAGCCTTACATCCTGAGAAACCACTCCATTCCAGGCAAACTGGGACAGTTGGTCTCCACTGGGGGAAGCCAGGTTTTCAGGAAGTAATTCAGGAAGTAATTCTTCCACATCCCCTCTCTCCTTGTATCATACTGCACAGAGAAGTAGGAGTCACCATGTAGACAACAGGTCCCAGAATTCAGCATCAGACTGTGGTTCCAAGCAGATAATCCTGGGTGCAGCGGCAGCTTGGTGGCTGCCTGACTGGCATCCCTTCTACCAGCACTATGCTGATTTCCTTAGGCAGCGCCCCCTACCCACAGCCCATGTGGGACAACAGCCCCAGATCCAGGGATGGGAGCCCAAGCTAGTTGGTACCTGCCATCCCCCAAGCCACAGCCTGGCCCAGTGGATTACAAAGGTGGTTTGCTAGGGACATTTTAGAAAATATTTCCTCATTTTTCCTCCTCCTTCTCCTCTTCTCCTCCTCCTCCTCCTCCTTCTTCTTCCCTTCTTTTTCTTCTCTCCCATCTCCTATAGCATAAATTTTCACTATTTGAAGCCTAGACATCAATGAGTTTTAGTAAATTTACTGACCACAATACAGTCTTGGAACATTTTCATCATCTCAGTAGGGTCCCTCCTGCCCGTGTACAGCCACTCCTCAGCCCCAGGCAACCACCAAACCTACTCTTTCTCTATGGATTTGCCCTTTCTCAACATTTCATGCAGGTGGAATATGCAATACATGGTCTTTTATGACTCACTTCTTTTCTCTGGCCCATCTTCATCCATGTTGTCACTGCTATTAGTTCTTTATTCCCTTTTATTGTTCGGTAATGTTACATTGTATAGATGGATCATGTTGTATGTATCCATTCATCCCTTGAAGGACTTTTTTTTTTTTTTTTTTTGGTACTAGGGATTGAACTCAGGGGTAGTTTACCACTGAACTGCATCCCCAGCACTTTTTATTTTTTATTTTGAGTTGAGTTTTTAAGTTGCTAGGGCTAGCCTCAAACTTGAGATACTCCTGCTTATGCCTCCTGAGTAGCCAGGATTACAGGTGTGTGCCACTGAAATTAAATGCACCCTTTTACATTGTTATCAGCCATGCAGACAAGGATTTCTGTTTCTCCCCATCCCCTCCATTTGTTATTCCACCTTTTTTAATGAGAGCCATACTCTTGGATAGGGAGTTGTATCTCATCTCACTTTTTAATTTGCATTTCTGTAACTAGCTCTGTACACCACTGTTAAGGTCTGTAGACAAGTCAAAATAACACGTGGTATTTTGCCAGGGGAATGTTAGAGTTCGTAAACAAGTCTGGATGGTGCCTGGCAAAATGCCAGAGGGAGTGGTTTGAGAAGTAACAAAAGTGAGCTATTAAGTGTGGAGATTCCTTATTGGTTGACTGATGAATCTAGTTTATGCTAATTAAGATAAGCTGTACAAAATGTATAAATAGCTCTGTTGTCCTACAATAAATGGCTCCTATTCCTGCTGTATCAATCTACACAAGTTATTCGTCAGCCCCCGGTTATTCTGCTGCAGCCGGACACCAGCACACCACTGCACCCAGGGTAGAGGGGGACACCCCCCTCCAGGAAGAGGTCCCCTCTAATCTGGGTGTGTGTGGGGGAGCTCCCCACCATACCCAAAGTAGAGGGGTCTCCCCCCCTCCAGGGGGAAGATCCCTCTAACCTGGGTGTGTTGGGGGGAGTTCTGGACACCACCATACCCAGGGTAGAGGGACTCCCCCTTCCAGGAAAGAGGTTCCCTCTAACCTGGGTGTTCGGGGGGGGGTTCCCCACCACACCCAGGGTAGAGGGGACTCCTGCCACCAGGGGGAAGGTCCCTCTAACCTGGGTGTCGTGGGGGAGCTCTGGACACCACTGCAACCAGGGTGGAGGGGACTCCCCCCTCCAAGGGTGAGTCATCCCCTCTAACCTGGGGTGGGGGGGAGCTCCCCCCATCACCGCACCCAGGTTAGAGGGGATGACTCCCCCGCCTCCAGGGTACAAGATATACCCCGGACATGGGAGGTGCTATGCCAGGACAGACGGAAAGGTTTTCCAATTTCTTAATGCAAAATGCGAGTCGGCTTTCCTATCCAACAGGAATCCTCGGCAGATAAACTGGACTGTCCTCTACAGAAGAAAGCACAAAAAGGGCCAGTCGGAAGAAATTCAAAAGAAGAGAACCCGACGTGCAGTCAAATTTTAAAAGGCCATCACTGGTGCATCCCTTGTAGATATCATGGCCAAGAGGAATCAGAAACCAGAAGTTAGAAAGGCTCAACGAGAGCAAGCTATTAGAGCTGCCAAGGAAGCAAAAAAAGCTAAGCAGGAATCTAGAAAGATGGCAATGGCTGCTACTAAGGCTCCCACAAAGGCAGCAACCAAGAAAAGATTGTGAAACTGGTGAAGGTTTCTGCTCCCCAAGTTGGTGGAAAATGCTAAATTGGCAGATGAGATTTTAAAATAAAGATGTATCTATAACTTTAAATAAATAAATAAATATTTAAAAAAATAAAAAATAAATGCTATCATAATTAACATATTTGCATTAAAAGGCCACACTGTATATATTACGTTATTTCATGATGCTGTACTATTAATACACTGTTAATAACTAAACACCATAAGTACATAACATGGATTTTGTTATATACAGTACAAAAGACCACAAGGCAGTCACACTATTCATTTTTTAAGCTATAATATGGATACTGTATCAGTATTGAGGGCCACAAGGCAGCAAGCTTATCCATTTTTGATGCTGTAATGTGGATTTCACATGAGTATTAAAGTCTGTAGGGCAGCCATAATGTCATTTTTATTGACATAATTTGGATAACATCTCAGTATGAAAGGCCACAATGCAGCTATTTTATTGGTTTTTGAAGCTATTCTATGGATATAACATTAGTCCTGAAGACCACAGTCCTGTAAACAAATTGTTATTTTAGTACAAATGTCTACAAAGCATCTCTTTTCTTAAATTTCGATATTATAACATGAATATTATATTAACATTAAAGGTCTGAGGGAAGCTATGGTATTAACTTAACTTGCTTCATATTGATATCAAAGTATTACTACAACCAGGATAAGTTATTAAATTAATTTTACTTGCTAAAATATGAACATTTCATCAATATCAAAGCCACAGGGAAGGTATTGTATTAGTTTAGATTCTGTAGTTTGGATATTGTATTAACATTAAAGACCATAGGAGAGCCATAATAATATATTTAGAGGTCACAGTATGAATATTACATTAATAGTATAGCCACATTCTAGCAGTTACATTAGTTTATACTAC